AACTTGGGGGGGGGGGAACTCCTATACAATGAAATGCTGACATTGTTCAATTTTGGTGTAACGTGTAATATTTTTGATATTAAATTAAAGGATTTAGGCACTAATTAAAAATCAGTTAAATCAATAAAAAAGCAACATGTTATTAACCAATGAATTCTTTTGTCGGGGGACTCCTCAACTGCTGGGCCCTTAGAATTCGAGGCCAGCAGAAGATAAAGTAAAAACAAACAAGCTCCAGGGCAGGGAGCCAGTTCTTCAGAACAATTTTATAATCATCATCTTCAATGTAAACAGCTCTAAAGCACTAAGTAGTTCAAAGGAGGAGTGAAAGATTCTTTGGGTTTTAGAATAAAACTAGGCAATACATTTAGCATGTACAGTACAGTATTTGGAATAAGTGCACCCTCTATTTGTCATAGCACATGCTTTTCCTGATCTTTGTATCTTGCATATAGTGTGCTTTATACAGTACTTTGTTTTGTGAATGCTCGTGGTGTGTGTGTGTGTGTGTGTGTGTTTTGCATATAGTGTGCTTTATACTTTGTTTTGTGAATGCTCATGGTGTGTGTGTGTGTGTGTGTAAATGCAGTCTTACTTTGTGAGTCTGCTGAAACACGTTTCTGAGGAAATTCTGTTGTCAAGGGGAAATGAATTAATTTGATGGAATATGCAATCCCCTTGACATCTAGTTGGACCCTCAGGAAGTGGCCTACTTTATTTCTGAACGATTGCTGTCTGTTGACAGTTGAGGAAGCAGGAGTTTGACAGCGTTGGATGCTCTGGAGACTTGAAAGTACAGTAGTCCTGCTTCTAGTGGTTTGTTCAGCTGCTATAGCCTGCCAGCTAAGAGAGGGGAAAAGTTAATAACAAACCAGTCTGGTGTGACTCTGTGTTGACTCCATTCTTTGATTAGCTGTTGTTTGACATATTGTTTTCTACATACTATTTTGGGATACTCTGTAGAACTGTGGACCTGGAAGGGGCTTTGTGCATCATCTAGGCAAGTACCCGTGCGATGTAAGAAACCCAGTACTGCTTTGTGCATAGGCAAGTACCCGTGCGATGTAAGAAACCCAGTACTATAGGTTTTCTAACAGATAGTATCCAAACTCTGTTTGAAGACCTCCAGAGGGTCATCCCTTCCCTAGTCCTGTCCCCTATATCAGAAGAACCAGTCTTTGTCCTCTTGCATGTGACAGTCCTTTAGATATTTAAAGAGTACAACTATGCCCCTATTCATTCTTTTCTTTTCTAGGTTAAACACACTAGTTCCAACATTCCTTAGTCAGGCCTTGGGAATAACTAGTTATAAGTAATACAGTTCCAAATAACTAGTTACAGTTATGTAATTAGTAATGTAATTAGTAGTTCCACCGTTATAGCAAAAGTAATGTAAAAGATAGTTACAAAATAACTGTTAGGTGCAATTTTTTTAAAACTTCCTTTCTAAAGTTACTTTGGATGTGCATTTTATAAGCATTTTAGAGGCATTTTTAGCAGGAATTTCCAGATTTCTCTTATAGACCCTGCATAGAAAGGAGGATATTCCCTGCTTTTCTTTTGTATATTTACAAGATGCAATATCATAACTAGACACTACAGTGTATTCCATTGCACTTTTTCCTGGTCTGCTGGTAATGGCAATGCAACATGTTAATAGCATGCCACACAATGCATTACTTGTGGAACCAATCCAGTGATAGTGGTAATGACAGTCTGGTTGTTGAAAAATAAGGAGTAATGCAGTGAGTTCCTTTTTTAAAAATTGCATTTTTTATCATTGCCCTTAGTTAGAAAGGTTGTTTTCTATAACACAAACCATTTCCTTTTTCTGAATCCACTGCCATTAATCTCTGTACTTCTTAAAATGCCTCATTTAGTGCAGTATACTAAGACCAAGCTTGCTTGTCAGCTGTAGTAGGAAAAAGTCACACTCCAGGTCATGTAGAGCTATCCCCCCAACCACACATAGACATTGAATTCCTTCTTTCCCTTTCTGATCTCTTTCCAACAGCACATGACTCTACAAGAGGAAGCAGTAACAGAATTGCTTCCAGGAACCTGGGGCCAGCTTTCTTTCTTTCTTTCTTTCTTTCTTTCTTTCTTTCTTTCTTTCTTTCTTTCTTTCTTTCTTTCTTTCTTTCTTTCTTTCTTTCTTTCTTTCTTTCTAATGAATGAATGAATGAATGAGTGAATGAATGAATGAATGAATGAATGAATGAATGAATGAATGAATGAATGAATGAATGAATTTGTACCCTGCATCATCTGGCAATGAAGGTGGTAAAAAAGGTGATGGAGAAGATGACAAAAAGGAGGTTAAAAGGGAGACCGAGATCTTAACGTTCCAAGAAAGCCTGACAGAAGAGCCAGGTCTTCAATGCTGTTTTGAACCCATCCAGGGAGGGTGCCAGGCGGATCTCAATGGGCAGGTTGTTCCATAGGTGGGTGGGTGGGACTGTCGAGAAGGCCCAGTTTCTTGTTCTTTCCCTCCAGGCCTCCTTCGGGATCAACGCCCTCAGCTGCCCTGCCTGTGAGGAACAGGTATCATAGACAGCTCTGGCTGGGAGCAGGCATTCTGATAGGTACATGGACAGCTCTGGCTGGGAGCAGTCATTCTGATAGGTACTGGGGTCCGAAACCATTTAGGGCTTTGAATGTTATCATCATAACCTTGAAGTTGATGCGGTAAAGAACTGGTAGCCAATGAAGGGCAACCAGAATGGGGGAGATGTGCTGGAATTTCTTCACCCCAGTTATTAATCTGGCTGCCAAATTTTGGACCAGTTGAAGTCTCCACAGCAGCCTCAAGGGTAGCCCCATGTAGAGAGCACTGCAGTAGTCTATTCTTGAGATTACGAGGGCATGAATCAGTGCTGTGAGTGCCCCCACCTCTAGACAGGGACGCAGCTGGGCAATCCTCTGAAAATGGAAATGGGCTGCCCGGACCACAGATGCCACCTGGGTTTCCATGGTGAGATCCGGGTCCAGGCAGATGCCCAAGCTGCAAACCTCACTCTTCCTGGGAAGAGTCACTCCCCAAAAGGAGAGGGAGTTTCCCAACCCACTGACACCAGGGCAGCCCACGCGCAAGATTTCTGTCTTGTCTGGATTCACACTCAGTCCATTTGCCCTCATCCACTTATGCTGAGTCAGTTTCACAAATGTTGCTTCTGATGGAGTCTCCAGACCAAAGTAGTGTGGGAGGGTATCATTGAGGTAGCTGTGTCAGCCCTAGAGATCATGGTTCCACAGAACCCCTTGGGACCCTAATTCATGAGAAGGAACTGTATCTGTGGAGCCTAAGGCCCGTGTTTGTGCAAATGCAATGATCAATGTCTCTTGTTTCTCTTGGGGTTGTGCCATTATGGGAGGAGGCTAGAAGTGGGGAAAGGGTCATTTGATGTATATTTGCTGGACTGGATAGTGGGAGGTTGTGGTCCTGTTGTCTGAGGCAACTGGTTCTATGGAGCTAACAGTAAGGCTGGCCTTGAATACATCATAAAGTCTGATTACTGTGGAATTAAGTGTGACACCAGCTTTTTAAAGTGTGATCTGATAAGCAATTAAAAAAGAACTGAATTTCATCCTTGCTTGGCAACATGGCTTAATGAAAGAATTCCTCCATAAACTTCTATTTCTTATTAAAACTTACTTTCCACAGGTTCTGGAAGTTCACATAGTTGTGTTTGTGGAGAAAGTAAAGACAGACACAATGATTTGCTTTTTAATCGAATCATAGAAAAGATCCTAACTTTTCATAATCATTTTAAATGGAATCTTATGGAGCTTCCACTGAGAGGAATCTCAGTGAATCTTATCTAGCTTCCACTGAAAGTCCTGGTAGTGGAGTAGAATCATAGAATCGTCATAGGGTTGGACAGGCCTTGCAGGTGTTCTAGTCCAACCCCCTGCCAAAGGCAGGAGACCTCATACCATCCCAGACAGATGAGTGTCCAATCTTTTCTTGAAAACCTCCAGCGATGGGTTACCCACAACAACAGTAGTATGGGACTGTGCTACTTACGCAAGCACTGGAGGTCATTTTCATTATGGAGATCACTGTTGTGCAACTGCAACACCTAAGCAAGGAACACAATGTACATTACTATAGTAGTGGACTGTTCCATACAACAGAAGCTCAATAAAACTCAGCATTTTAGGTATCAGTAAAAGGACGGAATAAATATGTGAGGGACAGAGTGTGCTAGCTGTGCCCACTCCATCCTGTGGAGAATTGGAATCTGACGAAGAGATCTCTGTGTGATCTGAAATTCTGGAAATTCAGGATTCCCTGTTGTATAGATATACAGTGGTGCCCCGCTTGACGATTACCTCGTTATATGACGAAATCGCTTGACAATGTTTTTGTGATCGCTATTGTGATCACAAAGCAATGATTCCACGGGCGATTTTCATTTAACGACATTGGTTCCCTGCTTCGGGAACCGATTTTTCACTTAACAATGATCAAAAACAGCTGATCGTTGGGTTTTCAAAATGGCTCCCTGCTGTGTTCAGGGTGGATTCTTCGCTATACAGGCACCGGAAAATGGCTGCCCTATGGAGGATCTTCACTGGATGGTGAGGTATTTTCCCCATTGGAACGCATTGACCGGTTTTCAGTGCATTTCAGTGGGGTTTTTTATTTCGCTTGGCGATGATTTTGCTCTACAGCAATTTTGTTGGAACGGATTGTCGTCTTCAACCGGGGCACCACTGTACTTCATACCTAGAAGATGCTATAACACTCCACTTGTGAGCTGGAAAAGTACATCCTTGTCTTCTCATGTTTCCTTAACCCTTTCATGAAACAGCTAAAGACGGCTACTGGTTTCATTGGGAACAAAGGGCTACATCCTTCTTCAAGCACAATCCAAGCCATCTCAAACCTTTAAGGAAAGATGGCCTGTAAAAGTAAATAAATTGTATATGGATGTGAAAGTTTTGTTTTCCATAGTAAAAAAAGACATTTTCCTTGTTGTTTCCCATTTCTACAGGTCCTGCAGCTGGGCTCTGAAATCCTTCCACAGTACAAGCAAGAGGCACCAAAGACCCCACCACATATCATTTTACATTATTGTGTTTTTAAGACTACTTGGGATTGGGTCATCCTGATTTTAACCTTCTATACTGCTATTTTGGTTCCTTACAACGTCTCATTTAAAACCAAGCAAAACAACGTGGCCTGGCTGGTAGTGGACAGCATTGTGGATGTCATTTTTCTAGTGGACATTGTGCTAAATTTCCACACCACATTTGTTGGGCCGGCTGGAGAGGTGATCTCCGACCCAAAACTGATCCGCATGAATTACTTGAAGACCTGGTTTGTAATTGATCTTCTGTCTTGTTTGCCATACGATGTGATCAATGCATTTGAGAATGTCGATGAGGTGAGTTTGAGAGTTCTTGTTTTCCTAGATTTTTTTAAGTATTGATGAAAAGAGGGTTCATATTAGCTGTTGCTCTGTATCTGCATATGCCTTATTATCTTCGATAGGTCAGCTCCTAACTGATTATATTCTGAAGAAGTGAATGATTTCACAGTCATTTTCCACAAAAACAGTAATATGCTTTCTCACAGGGAATTGGCTGTTGATGCAGTGCGATCCTGTGTGATCGATGGCACAATAGAAAGACCACTTCTCCTCCTTCCCACCCCCTCCCTTCTCTTCCCAAAGGGAAAAAGACGCTGTGTCTGTTTGCAGGGCTCTGTGGTATGGAAGAGTACTTTGGCACCATTCTGAATTACAAAATATCACTGCAGTTGCAGTCTTGATGGCTGCTGCTGAATCCTGGGGACAAACATGCTAGGAAAGAGCCGGATAGTATTCCAACATCCAGTGCTAGCAAGTTGCCCATCCGTTTTTTATGTTTGGAAAGGGGAACTGAACTTCAAAACTAGAGAAAGTTGGTCAACTTGAAACTCATGCATATCTGAAAGAATATATGAAACTTGTTCTTATTCTTGTGTGAGTCTAATTCAAAATCTAAGGAACAGCAGCAGCAGTAACAACAACACAGAAGCAAAAGCAAAAGTAATAATATTGGGGCACTTTTAAAACATAATATTGGGGCACGTTAAAAACATTTATTTCAGGCTTTTGTGTAATCTATTTCTTCAGATGCAGAACCGCTCATCTTGAAGTTGATTTCTTACTCCTAATGATATTGTGATCCTCTTTGTTTTTGCTTTGCATTTAGTTTTTCTTGTTGCTGAAACAACCTGACACTGCTCTCTGATAGTTCTGCTTTCAGTTCCGCATTGAAGACTTGTGATGAAGTATGCATTTATTTTTTAAATTTTACCAATGCATATATTTATAAGTAAAACAAAGGGTGATTCAAGTTCAAGGAGCCACAGAAACAAACCTGAGCTTAAATTTCATGAACCGCATACGTTAACAATAAACTATAATTATCACTCCCATTTTATAAATAATATGTTACAATTTATACTTAAATTAGACTGGAATTACAGTAGGACTACAGTATCCACAGAGGATCAGTTGCAAGCCCCTATGCAAATGCAGAAAAACACACAGGTATGGAATGCTACACATCACATGATCTCTGGCTCCCTCTAGTGGCCAGTTTTGTTAAATATACACTGGAAATATGTATAAATATTTCTGGGATTTTTGATTTAGTATTTTCAGGCAGCACATGAATGAATCAGTGGATACTCATCCCATGGATAGAGGGATCAGTATTATTGTATTAACCCCAATGTATTCAATATGCTGACTAGGGGATTCTGGAATATGCCATCCAAAAAAGTAAAAAAATTTAAGCTCTTGGAAGGGAAGAGACAATTATCAAAATTTTGTATTTGCATATGATAAGAATGAGTTGAGTGCACTTCTGGGACAAATCTGCTCTCCCTGTTTTTCATTGCCTGGGAGCTAAACTCAGCACATGTTTCTATTTCCATACCCTTCATCATGGCTGTACGTTATGCCAGCTGACTTGTGGTTTTGATGATAAGGTAACTACACTGACATTGTTAAACTTGACATGCAGATGGATTCTGTCAAGTCTGAGAAGACTTTCTTTTAAAAATCTGAAAGTTGCTGCTCTTAGTAATAGGGTATCATACTTGCATCTGGGAAAAGGGCTGTTGAGAATGTAGAATGGCCAGAAGGGAAGGTGACACAAGTTTCAATCATACTAATCAAATGAGTTAAGAGCCATAAAATCACATTTGTCTCTCTTTGGTGTTTTCCTCTTCATTAGACCCACCGTACAAGGGAACTGCCTTCTCAATTACAGCTCATTTTTTATTACATTGCAGTATCACAGCAGGTGCAAGCTGAGTAATTTGGTTGGGATCTAGTCATTCTTTGTACAGGGTAAAAAAAAGGTAAAGGTTCCTCTTGACATTTTTAGTCCAGTCGTGTCCCACTCTAGGGGGTGGTGCTCATCCCGTTTTTAAGCCATAGAGCCAGCGCTTGTCCAAAGACTGTTTCCATTGTCACATAGCCAGCGTGACTAGGGAACACCGTTTTACCTTCCCACCAAAATCATTTGCATGATTTTGAACTGCTAGGTTGGCGAGGAGTCACTCGATTTAATACTCGGTCTTCTTTTCCTCCTGCTTTCCATTTTTCCAGTGAATCTTGCAAAGTGCAATAGTCCCAGTTCAACGATTTTCACTTCTGGTGAGAGCTCAGATTTCATCTGATCTAGGACTCATTTTATGGTCATCTGTGGTATCTGTAACATAGAAGTGAAAAACCTTGTGGATCATTCACTCCTCACTCGAAAACTGACTGGTTCTCTTTAGTAGTTGTATGTCCAGCCCTTGTGCCAGCATGGCGGGGGACCCCTTGGGGATCAGGGGCACAGATGATGCCCAGGAGTTTGCACTCATTTGCACTGTGTATTTCTGGGTTTCACTGAGTATTATTTTTTTTAATGTTAATACATGGGGAGGAAATTATCTTCTTGGCACTAATTTACAGCAGGAGTAACATGGTGGTGCAGAACATCTGGGCCTGCTTTTTAAACCTTGCTGTAGTATCTTGTAAGGTCTTTCCCACTTGTTCTTTGCAAAGACTTGTGAATGATGCTATGTGCTGTATAGTTTATCCCATCAGTTTTAATTTCAGACTCTAATAAAGCTTTAAATCAGCTTGGAACTGACAAGTTACAAGGAATTCAGTTATTGGTAACTAATTACTTTTGTAGGGGTGGCAAGGGTATAGTGAGGTTACAATGTGACCACCAGCAACAAAGTTGCTCTATTGATGTAGTAAGTAACATTTCCTCATTACTCGGGAAAGTCATTTTTAAGGAACATTTTTAGAAATTTTGATTTTTTAATAATTTAATTTTTAGATGATTTTCATATAAATCCTAAGTGTCTTTTTCACCATTCTTATACCTTAGTATAAGGTATAATGTATTCATGCCTAATGAACAAAGTGTATTCTGGTAAACTTGGGCAATTTTGTGTTCCTCTGCACACTCTTTCTTGTAGCATTTCAGTTGCCTTATAAAAATATCACCTTTGTGTGGAGTGTGGAATTTGTTTTGTGCCAACACAGATATCGATGCTTTTGTTTCAAAATACCTTTCGTCTTTTGTTGTTTTTGTTTGTTGTTTTTTTTCAAGGTGCAATATTAGATTTAGGCACTAGAGGGCACCAGAGAGAATTTTTCTGGTGTTCCTGTTACAACTGTTAATACCGTATGTACCTCACATTGCATGGAACTCTGGCTAACAATAAACTTTTGACTGGAGAAAATAATGAGTAAATGCACTGAGGTCTTTGTCAAAAGCAACATTCCAAGGTCTGTTTTAAATATATTTGTATTTCATTTGGCTTCACCACCAACATTTGTCTTTTTCATATGTCATTTTCCATTGGTGGATGATGCTCAAAATGTAGAGTAAAAGCTTAAGACTAGAATCTTTTTTGGTTTCCCTTTCCTATGGTGGTTGTGCCCATTCTATGCTTTGTAGCAGTCTCTGCCACATTCACTTGGAACAGCAATTATGGCAGCTGCAATCTGAACAGCTGACATTCAGTTTTGGAATGGGTTTCTGACCAGTTGCCTCTGGTTGGTTTATTGCACTACTCTATATCAGAAATTTGCTCACGCCTGACACATGGGCTAAGTTCACCGATTAGTCTCCTGTTTCTTTCATCTGTTTCTGGGTTCACTCATGGTGTTGGAAGATTTAAGCTTTTGGATAGCAAAATTAGTAGAATATGGTGCCCTGGCACAGTAGTGTTGGGTGTGTGAAACAATCCACAAATGCCCTATAGGAGTTCCTGTTAATTAGGTTTATTTTTTATTTGTATGGGAAGAAACAGTCTGCACATTAGTCAGAGGACATGAGAGGACATCACTTTGAGGAACATTGTTTTTGCTCAGTAGAAACCTTTAATGCAGTGTTTCATAACCTAGGGATCATGACCCCTAAGGGCAGACCTGGGCAAAATGCGGCCCGAGGGCCACATACGGCCCGCGAGCCACTCCTGCCCAGCCCGCGGACAGTTTTGAAAATCAAAACCATTTATAGCTTTTTGTCTAAAGTTGATCAGTTGCTTATCTTTAACATACCGCAAAAAAACTCTTTAGTTTTTGTGAAGATTAACAAGTTTAAAATAAAAAGAATCATAACATCACTGTATCATTTTACAGTATTTTTAGGTAAAGTTGGTTCAGCCCCCAAACACAATTCCATTCTTTCATGTGCCCCCCCTATAGAAATTAATTGCCCACTCCTGCCTAAGAGGGTATGATAGAGTGTTTTCCAGGGGGTCGGAGGTCACTTTATATATGTCGTAGTCCTTGTTATATAATGTTTTCCTTCAGCTTTCAGAGTGGGGCATTAAAGTTAATTTGTGTGTATATTTATGAGAAACAGGCCCTTTGGGGGAGAAAGGAGCCTCTACTGTCTGAGAAGGGATGACTTTACCACATTAAAATGTCTTTTTATACACACGTGATGGGTTCACAGGTTACTTGGCTATTAAAAAGGGGTTGCGAATTGAAAAAGGTTAGGAATAGAGGTGAACATGAACTTCAGTGCACACCAGAGATGCCGTGTGTTCCTTCTCTCCCTGCCGGCTCCCCCACTGACTAGCCAGTATGCACTGCTCTTTCCTTTGTATGATCGTCCAGTCACAGCAGAGGATGTGCTTTCCTCCTCTGCCTCTTCCAGCAGCTGCCCACTCAAAGGCAGCAGTACAGGAATCCCCTTGTCTTAAGAGAGCAGCTGCTGGAGGAGGCAGACAATGGAATCATGTTCTCCTGCTGTCACTGGACAATCATATGAAGAGGAGGGAAAGAGCAGCACGCACCGGCCAGTGAGTCAAGGGGGTGGCGGAAGGAAATGTGCAGCACCTGTGGTGCCACACTGATGAACCTGTACAAACCTC